CATACCTACTTCAATCTAATATCACTAATATACATGCAGCTCATCTTATTCAAAACAACAACCACAACACTACCAACATATCATATATACACAGTGAACCTAACCTTACAACCACTATATTCCAAAATGGATCTGCAACAGACCTACTACAAAAAACAAAATCTATAATCACTAAGCAACACTACTACACAGCTAATATAGATACAGTTTGCATCTTACCAAAAACTATACAAGCAAAAACCTACTTCACATGGAAAATTAATAACAAAGATACCTTCACTGCTCAAATCATTCAATAGAAATCACATACAAGAGCAATCTGCATCACAATAATTACTATACTCATTACTTTTCCATTAGATTGTGTACTCACCATAGCTACATTCTCAAATACCATTATCAATACCTACAATCTACTCAACCAACAAATATCACATCGAATTAACAAACTACAGAAAAATAAACATTGGCTACTTTGGTATCTTATCTTTATCATACTTGCTCGAACAGATATCAAACTACAAATAGTTCTCTCAGACCAACTTAACCCACCACATACTAACCTCTCTAGCATACTATACCTCGTCCTTCTTAATACTAATATCGATCATAATATAGTTATACCTCACCTTTACCAAAACATAATTGACAACAGAATACGAACTGTTATCAAATATATACAACAAGCCAACTATACTGCAACTTGGCACTCACAAAAACACACAGAAAACTAGAACAATATAAGTATTAATACAAACTGAAATGCATTCTATAAATACATCAATATTCACAACACTCCTAACAGCCTCTATACTTCACCTAAATACTCTACACTAAAGGCATTCAAACTAAAATTTCTACTAGATGAACTCCTAACGCAACAAAACCTCCTAATCTGCTATCCTAACAAAACAAATACAGATATCTGTCAATGCTGCAGCACAATCACTGAAACTAACTACCACTGGATTACATATGACAAAAACCTCAATGATATCTCAACTATCATTGAAACAGTTACTACCAAATATATAAACAAATATATCAAACTCTCTAACCAAGATTCTATTGCAGATATCATCCATATCTCTTTACAGCATTTCAGGATACAACCAGAAAACATCTCTAACAACTCATATACTATTCTTCATAGCTTTATTCCAATAGCTTTCACCACTCACCTCTCTTAAAGTCTAACTGCCAAAAGCAAAGACATACTGCACTCTGCTCACCTCCTACACAAAATCATACACAAAGTATACCAACAGATCTGGATCCCATGATGCTAACAAATATCTAATACTATTCAACCCAACAACACTATCACACAAACTACTACCTCAAAACTACCAACAGTCCTACTACCAAACAAGCAAAGGTCCAAATAATAAAAGATAAAACAAGAAGATAGTCTGAAGTCTATACTAAATACAATATTACTGATACATTTATAGCAAAAATCTAACTACAAATCTAGATAAGGCTGATAGCTCACTCTAGTAGAGTATAGGCTGAGAGGTAAACTAGCTCTAGCTTAGGTAACAGTAATTTATTAATGTAATACAATATTTGTACTTATATTATAAAACTCAATAAAATCCAAGACAAGGCCTCATTCTATAAAAAAAAAAAAAAATACAATTACAAAAAATAAAAAAGATTTATTTGTTTTCACAAATTATATATTATAATTACAAAAAATAAAGATTTATTTGTTTTCACAAATTACTCATTACAATTACTAAAATTCAGTAACTTAAACCTGTTATTTGTTGATATAACAGTAATTGTTAAAATAATAGCAATTGTTGAAATAATAGCAATTAATGAAATAATAGCAATTGTTGTGATCTGAAATGCACTATTAAAATATCTGCATAATCTGATATAAGGGATGGTTTAGCTCATGAAATACGGTATATACAGAGATTTCAAAATTATACATATCAATATTAAAATTTGAATTTATTTAAGAGTAACCAGAGATGAAATTCACTAATATATATTTCTGTTTAATTATTTCTTAATAAATAAACCATTTTTTCTTTAACTTTAGAGTTAGGATGAGGTCTATATTAGGGTTAGAGTGTTTATTATATGTAAAATTAAGCGCTTGACATGATGCAAGTTTTCATAATAAAATTTTAAGATATTAATTTTTTTTCTTTATTATCGTTACACAATATCCTGCGATTTTATTGGTTAATCATATAACTGGTGAATTTCACCTCCGGTGAGCATTAAAATCGTCCTTAAAATTTTATTATTTATAATTACTGCTGTTTTTATTATTGTTATTTCTAAAATTTTCGATATGGAAAAAAAAAGTTCTGATATAAATACTGTGCTGTATGATCTCGTTAATATATAAAATACTTAGTATTTAAAATTTTTGTTCTAAAATATCATTTTGAGAGATCTTTAATTTTGTCTAACCCGATCTGTTTAACACCTGCTTTTTTTTTCTGGAAAAAAAGCATTCATCTGGTACGAATAGGGTTGTTAAAAGACCCGGTCCTTGAGTCGACTTCACACGGACTTTTTAGGACTGACTCAAACCTGTCCCGTACAAAGTCCCATATGCATGTCTTTGTTCCAATTTGTGATCCATATAATTGGTCAAATGCATGTCGTTTGTTCGAATTGTGATCAGGAGGCATTCATATGATTGGCTAATTTATATCGAGATTTATTTGATTATTACATGTATGGACTCGACTCAAGGACCAAGTCCTAATCGAAGTCCCTATTTACGAAGTCTGGACCGAAAGGATCGGACTTTTAACAGCCCTATCAGTACCCGAGTACTAATTCAACAAACCTCAACTAGCAAGATCTATATAGCATGGATCTGACTTGGCATTAATTCCTCCTGCAAACAACGAAGTTAGCGTTTTGTTCATAAAATACATAAACTTTTAATAGAATTCCACTATATTAATCACTTATCATATAGCTGACTCTTTCAAAGCGATCAGTTTTTCATTTGTATCCTTGGAAATTTCTGTTATGCTAGTAAAGAATAAATGAAGCTTTTTATTCGCATAAAAACGATATTCTTTAATTTATAACGTGTATTTTATTAATTTATAACAGTATTTTATTGGCTATAGTTAATTGATTATATCACATTATCAAAGATCGTTGATTCCACCCAATCAAAAATACGATCTACAGATAGCCAATAGAAACTTTGAGGGGAAATTAGTAAACGCGTTAAAATCACTAATTCCTAATGATTGTATCATAGTAAAATGCTAACTTATTTATTACTATGACGCATCTATTAATTACTAATTTTATATAATCGTTTGAGATAGAATTGTACCCGGTTCAAAATTTAAGCTCCGGTTAACGGATCTTATACTGGTTACCCGGGTGACTCTTATACGGATACTATCTCTAGTTTGAGATCATAGTATAAATTACAAATAATGCAATAGTATGTTTAAAGGCTCGCTCTAATTTTCGGTGCGAAACCTAAGAAAATAATTCTAATACTTATTACACAAAAGAGACATATCACATTTCATGCACCAAACAAATTGTGTAAATAAAAAAAGTTTAGAACTAATAATTTATATGACAGATAATAAATTTGAACCATCAGCACAAGTGATAGGTTACTTACTAGCTAAGAATTAAAAAAATTATTGAGTATATTAAATGCAAACTTATTATTTGGCTCAATTTCCAATACCCTATTAAATCTACAAGTGATTCTTTAATTCGATGTATACGCTGAGAAGTAACTCCTCGATCACAGTGCAATTACATAATTTGGCATAATTTCTATAGCTCTATTAAATCTGTCAAGTGATTTTTCATATTGACCTAATAATTGATAATTATATCCACGGGCTACGAAGTACATCCGCATTATTTGGATATATAATTAGTGATATATTAAAATCTACGAACGACTCTCATGTCAGACCTAAACACATATATGTTATTCCACGGTGTACAAGTGCATCTGTAGAATCTCCAATGCTTTATTAGATCTGTGAGATTTTTCATATTGACGTAATAGCTGATAATTATGTCCGCGATTAGAATTAATTTTCAACAATCTATTAAAATCTGTAAGCGATCTTTCATAGAAGCCAAGCTCCACATAAGAGGCTCAATTTCCAATGCCTTATTATGCTCCACTAGCGATTCATTATATAGACCTAACTTAAACGGCTTAGCGATTACCAAGTAGATACGCGTCATTTAGACCAATTTCCAGCAATTTATTAAGATCTACAAGTGATTCTTCACACCGGCCTAACTTTAGATATGTAACTAGGTAATCATCACCTGTAATAAAATTATCTCAAAATTTTGCTTATGAAACTACTTTTGAAGCTCTAAGCAAAAAATTCCTTGCGAAATTTTACTATAGACCTTGCTAAACCCTAACCCTAAAAAATATTTTTATTTGTTTCTGTTTATTTTGTATAGCTACGTTACACGGAATTATAATAAAATAATCATAAGTGATTATCACCTGAGGTTCAATGGTGAAAATTAGTTAATTTCTATTCTAAAATAGAGTTTTGGCATTTTTTATTATTATTAATAACAGGTTTTTCTTATGGAGTAATTTTTACACGTTTTCTTACAAAATGTTTCTAGCGAAAAGGGCATGTCGGTTTGATATATAAAACACAAAATGTTTATTCATAAAATACTTTTTTTTTTTCTAAAAAAAAATGCATTTACATCGTTCGGAAAAAAAGTTGTTAATGTTCTTATTAAACATACCACATCAATGAAAGGTAAAATGCTTGAATGGGATGTTATTATCGAACTAAAAACGATCAGCTTCAAAAAAATTGATAGCTTTTCAGGAGATGGCCTAGAATTCATGTACACGGGGTGAGTTTTCTCATTGATTATTTGTTGAATCATAGTGTATCTGAAGTTACGCTGCCACATCCGTGTAATAAAATCTGGTAGAGAATTGAAAGCTCTTCGTGGCCAACTATTTTAATAGTTCTTCTCTATCAGTTATGGATGTTCCTAAAGGACTTGTCACTTTCTGCATTAGAAAGGACCTTTCTGGTATCAGAAAGCGCGAAGACTAGGTAATTGGTGAATAGGAATACACTCTGGCATCGAGAACGCAACTGTTGTCTATTCCGGCCGTGCATCTTTGCTGGTTGATTATGATGACGTAAATACTCATATTTTACTATTTTATTCTTTAGCGGAAAGAACGATAAAAGCAGAGACATATTGTGTCAAGTCACTGGTGTGACAATCGTAATCCAGTGCAAGAACTGGACAGGAACAAACCGAATAAGTAAATTAATTTTATATACATCATCACTTTTGAAATAACTTAAGATAAAGAATAGCTCAATATTTTTTAGATCACTTACGCTCATTGTGAGGTGACTCACAGATGCGCCAAACAGTACAAAGGTGTCGCTATTGGTATTATAGTGGCACCTTCAATGGATACATTCACACCTGGTGCCATATAAGTGGCCGAAACTGCTAAGAAGCTAATAATTCTCTTTTCGATTAAAAACAAATTACGTTTTTACATCCTTTAAGTGATCGTAAATAGTCAAAATGGGGCTTTTACCCACTTTTGACTGCCATGAATTTTGTATTTTAAATATTAATAAAGCTGGCCCTGTGGTAATTTTGCATACATGATCGTGTACTTTTGCATGTATATTTTACAAGGGTGTATTTTGATGTTATATATGATATATTGAAATCGATGCTTATATTATACTGTATATGATTGAGAAGTTTTTCAATAGAATGTAAAGTTTTCGTGGCATCTGCATTCCGAAAAACAGAACAGAGTATACATCTGATTTTTTTATTGTTAATATATCTGTATCTTAAATAAAACAATGACAAATACACAATATAAAGACGATTTGTTTAGAGAATTGATCATAAACTTGTAGCCGAGGTTGATAAACTTAGGAAGGAGAACGCAGAAATACTGGGCTTAAAAAGAAATATGCTGAAATTGAAGCTGAGAATATCGAACTTAAAGCTGAGAATATGAAAGTTAAGGCTGTCAATGCAAAGCTAAAGCAAACTTTAAAAGAACATGAAATTAGAATCACGAATTTAGAACAAATAGATAAAGAAAAAACTGTTACTAATACTTCACAATCTCCCGTAAATTTTAATGATATTTTTAAACAAATAAACTTACGATGTGATGATACTCTCGCGTCTGATATAACTGATGACGCTTCAAATTCTGATATATCTGATAACACTTTTTCAAAAACTAAATCTTTTAAAGATAGGGGGATCGAATTTCTGAAACGGATACATAAAGAAACTATTAGCAATGAAGTAAAATAGAAAAGAAGCTTCAAGCCCAAATCTCTATATCATATAATAAAGATAATTTATCATGCGATATAAAAACCGTTTCCCAGGGAAACGATCGTGGTAAGTCATTGTGTGATATAAAAACTGTCTCCTAGGGAAACAATCGTGATAATATTAAAAGTAGGAGCAATCAGCAAAAAACTATTCCGAATAACTCCTTTACCAGTAGAAGACCTTGACGATTCTGATGAAATTGAGCTTACTAAAAATCAAAATATAGATTTAAGTCGAGATTTACAGAATTGTATGCTTATTGCTTCACCTGATTCCATAGAAATATCTTCCAAAGACATCGTGGATAATGAAAAGCCATCCTCTAAAATTACAACACAAAGCCTAATCCATTTATTTAAGAAAGCAATAAGATCTTGCATCAAGAAATTTTATCCTGGATTTGCTATTCAGATAATTTTGAGAATGAAGTTATTGAAATTCGACACAAGACAGGAATTAACGATAGAACTGCGAGAACCCAGATATACAAAAAAATGGTAGAACATTTACCGTGTGTTACATCAGGTGCCTTACGAATTAAAACTCTTAGGGCCAGAAAAATTCGTAAGCTATTTGGAGAAAATGGAGTTGGAATTGACAAAGTTAAGTATGTTACCTGCAGTGCAAATGATATTTCAAAATTAACTAATGCACAATTCAAAATATTATAAATCAAATAACTTCAAAAACCGTTTCTCAGCCTAAAGTAGTAATTTTTTCTACTTCTCGCATTGTTTCAAATTAGCTAATTCTATTTGTATTTTTTATATACTCTTTATAATGCATATAATATGGGGGTGTGTCAATAGAAATCAAGCAAATTGTTTTTATTGAAATTTTTTTAAAACTTCAAACAATAATAACTCAACAAAAACTTAATCAAATTTTATAAAAAATTTTTGTCAAATTATTGTAGTTTAAAGTTTTAAAAAAATTTACTTAGAAAAAATTTGCTTGATTTCTGTTGACACACCCCCATATATTAATTTATCAAAGAATGGTTTATATTATTCAGCTATGGCGCACCAACCTGATACACATTTTCCGGATTGTCATTAGAATTAGAGGAATTTATAAGGAATAAACTTAGTTGTCTGTGAATAAGTTGTCTACGGGATGAGTTGTCTGTGAAATAAGCAAATAAGCATGTAATTGAAGTGTTGGGTTGTGTTACGAAAATTACATTTTTTTACCTTAAACATGATATAAAAGTTGAGTCTGACAGTAAAAAAAAATTTGATGGAAAAATGAAAATATCAAGAAATCAAGTGCAGTCAGAACATTATAAAAATGATGAAACACCAAAATAAAATATCAGTTTTTGTGCTTCTGTAACATTTTTTCTCATAGAAAGAGCTTATCAACATCTCAATCTATAAAACACTATATCAATATACAACGCAACCAATTTTCTTTCTCTTTTTAGGGTCGGTTAAACGGAGTTAATTCGATATATGGGCTGCCGTCAGCAAATTTTTTCTAAGTAAATTTTTTGAAAATTTTAAACAAAAAAAAAAAATTTCAACAAAAACTTTATCAATTTTAATAAATTTTGTTTTTTAAAATAACAAATGTTAAATTCATTTAAATAATTTTTTATTAAATTAATTAAGTTATTGTTGTTTAAAGTTTTAAAAAAATTTTAATAAAAACAATTTGCTTGATTTCTATTGATGGCAGCCCATATGATCTACATATCTGATATTGCATAAATATATATAAATAATAACCTAAATCTTTTTATTTTTATAATAAGGTAATAAATAATAATAAATTTAAAAAATTAAGTTTTAAAAATAATCATACACATGATGAATTCATTCATTTCGCTTGACAATCAACTATAGTATGTTAGAATCTGTTAGAATCTCGTGTTTTTTTTATACCTAACTAATAATCATAAACAAGGTCTCGCCAATTTATGTATTAATTAGTAAATTCGATAGTGTTGACTCTCTAATTAAGCATCACATTCAATGCAACCGTAAGAGTGTATTTACAATTTATGAACAATGAATTTATTTAAAATTTTTATTTATAAACATGTGGCTAAATTAAATAGATATATTGTATGTAATATCGAAGAAACTTCTATTACATAAAAAGCGTAACATACTGAAATTTAAAAGAAAGTTTCAAGTTTCTATTTTAATTTTAACGATCTTTGATTGTTTATAAAGACCATGATACGTTTAAGCAAAGTCTATATATTCTACTTGTATTGTTTCAATGAATTTTTATTAATTTTTGCATTCACACCTACGAACATAGTCTGGGAGAATAAACAATGCTTTTGCTGATTCTAAAATATACTATACTGGTTGCAACAATGTTACAAATTGTTATAATACACCAAATCTACAAGCTACGCAGTTAAAGAATTTTATTATCTAGACTTATCAACCGCTTTTAAATTAAATGAAGATATAATGCCTTGGATAGATCTTAGCTCAAAATCAATTATTCCTCCACATTCATAGAGTGCATTCTCACTTTGTGGGTCTTATAATAGTACTTTAGTAATGTTTGGTGGTGATTTTGGTACTACGAATATTACAAATTTAGTTTTTACTTAACTTATAATATTAAAAACACAAATATTTAGTAATCCAGTAACTATTAATTAACCTGTAGATAAACATACACGTTCTGTTTGTGACCTTAAAACCGAAAGAATGTTTATGTTTTCGGGAATTATTGATATTTTGGATACAAAAACATAAATGTGGTGTTGGTAGTTCAATTAATGCACCAACAGCAAGATTTGATTATACTGCTACTTCATTACCAAATGGTTATATTGTCTACATAGGTGGTAAGAAGAACTGAATTAAAATAGATTGAAATGAAAAAGTGTTGAATATTATAATTATCTTTTTTTTTAAGTAGTTACCTTTATATAATATCAATGATAACACATGGTCTTCGATGGTAAGGTTTGCTTATTAGAAGATTAAAATTTTATAGATTAATTTAACAGTTTACATATTCTTCTGTTTTAGGTAATAAGTATTTATTTTATAAAATTTTTTTAATATGGTAATTCATTTTTTTTATATTTTTTTCTAAAATATATATAAAATTTAAATATATATCAGCAAAGGATGATCGCATAGTTGTATATGGAGGTTATGTACTGTACATTAGTTCCAGTCTTGTAGTTTTAAATACAGATGGTTCTGTTTTTACTTGGTCAAAAGCAAATGTTTCTACTCTTTAACCACTTTCTCGTTGTTACCATTCAGCTACTTTGGTTAATAATTATATGATTGTAGTTTTTGGAAGAAATGATCTTTATCTACCAACATCTACAATGGGTGAAGTATATATCTTAGATATAAGTGATAAATATAATTATAAATGGATAAATGAATTTAAACCTTCTAATAATGAACTCCTCTCGAATAATTCTCAAACCAATAATCCACCTACTGATACTAATACTGCTAAAACTAACATAGAATTAATAGCATCAACTGTAACTTTAGCATTTCTATTTATTTTAGCAATTAGTTTATGATCGATAATATCTGTAATAGAGGTGATAACTTTAAATTTTGGAAATATCAAAATGTAAGTTTTGTGCTGACCACGAATATTAATTAGACGATTAATCATGAAAAAAAATCATTAACGTTAATATTTGTATATATATAACAATATTTATAGGGTATATTGTGACATGATCTAGTTCTAGTTATTAATTAATCCTTTTTACTTTAAAATGGTCTAATAATATAAAAGGAATTAAATATAAATAATTATTAATTGGTATTTATTCTGAAATAATATGTAACAACAAAATAAAAAAATATTAAGTATAATTTTTTTTTTTTTTTTTAATGAAACTCGCACGTTATTACTAGTTTTCTTGAATTCTAAATGTCGGATAAAGAAGATTTTTACAATAATCTAACGAAAGACTTTGAAAAATTTTACAATAACTTAAATAATAATAATAAGTTACAGGATTTACTTGGTAAAATTGTTAAAGAATTGTGTAATCTGTATAATGAAGAAAGATCCAAAGGCAAAAATTCAGAAGCAATTCTTGATAAGTTGGATAAATTTCTAGCAAAAAAGAAACAAAATTAATTGGTGCTTGGATGATCAAATAGATCCTATAGCACAAATCATTCTCGCAAGTTGTTATCGTTTTGGTAAAAAGATGAACAGAAAGCATTCGTTTATTATCGAAGAGCTGCAGAAATGGGTCATGCTAAAGGAACATTTTGTGTTGATGTCTGTTATCGAAATGGAATCGGAGTTGAAAAGGATGCACATAAAGCATTCATTTATTATCGAAAATCTGCTGATATGGGTCATGCTGGTGAAACATATAATGTTGGCTATTGTTATGAGAAAGGAATTGAAGTTGAAAAGGATGAGCGTAAAGCAACTATTTGGTATCAAAAAATCTGCTGCTATGGATGATGTCAGTGTTGAAAGAAACTTTTTACTTGGTAATTGTCATATGACTGGAATTGGAGTAGAAAAGGATGAACATAAGATCTGCAGATATGGGTCATGCTAAAGGAACATTTGATGTTGGTTATTGTTATGATGAAGGAATTGGAGTTAAAATGAATAAACAAAAAGCATTCATTTATTATCAAAAATCTGCCGAGATGGGTGATGTTAGAGGAACATTTAATGTTGGTAAATGTTATCAAAGCGGAATTGTAGTTTGAAAAAGATGAACATAAGGCATTCAGTTATTATCAAAAATCTGCTGTTATGGGTTATGCTAATGGATTGTTTGAAGTTGGTTAATGTTATCGAAATGGAATTGGAGTAACGAGAGACATACAAAAAGCAAATTATTGGTATCAAAGATAAATAAATGTATTTTATTTTATTCTACGTTTAGTTAATAAATTCATGCGTTAAATAATTCATTAGAGAGAAAAGTTTAAGATCAGGTAATTAATTTCATTTCCAATTCAATTTAAATGCAAAAAATCTATGTATTTTGTTTTAGTAACTAATCATATTAGACTGAAACATAGTCTGTATGATTAACCTAAACTTAGTGAAAAATTGTATTATATTAAAAAATTAATACAATTTAATTTCTTAATCAATAATCAATATGCGCTACTTCTGCTATAAATTAATAAATATTACTGTACCTATCAATACAGAAGAATGGAAGCTTGGAAGTCTTGATATTAATGATAATTTGAAAGATCCATTTATTAAACATAAATATCCGTTGTCATGGATTCTTTATAATAAATTTAGATACATAATGATTGGAAAAGGTGGATTTGCAACAAACACGCTGCTTCGTGGTTAGATAAGAATCGAAACGTACGAAGACGAGTTGCACTTAAATTAGTTCATAATTCAAATGGTTGTAATGAAGAATTTATAAAAGAGGTAATCTTTTTAATCCAAATAATTATGTTATTCTTTATTTTCAATTAAGACATTTTTCATTCTGATAATAAGTTGAAGGCATACTGCGATATTGGTCTTAAAAATCCAACCTTTTTAAAATGTTTTGGATTATCAAAGGATAACATCTCTGGTGATTATATTCTTGTTATGCATTATGCTATGATGAGTTCGTTAAGTGGAAATCTCTGAAGATCTTATTCATCGAGATTTGCATAGCTGCTACATAGCGCATATGTTGCAGATTTAGGGCTTTCAATATCGATATCAGATAATATAAAATCAAAATCTGAACATGATGGATTTTATGGAGTTTTACCATATGTTGCTCCTGAAATTTTTAATCGACAACCATTTACTAAAGCATCAGATCTTTACTCGTTTGGAATAATTATGTGGGAAATTTTATATGGAAAATCTGTTATCTTCGTGCAAAAAACTAAATCACAATCCAGAACGCAATTTTCATTACAAGTATGTGATGGATTGCGGCCACATATCTTTGAAGGCACAACTCTATGCTATGTAGACCTTATGAAAAGATGTTGAGATAAAGATCCAGAAAAACGACCATCAGCTGTTGAAATTTATGATACTTTTCTTGAATGGCAAAATAATGAATATATTTTATTGGAATTTTCCGAGTATAATAAAGAGATGCGAAGTACAAATAAAAATTTACAAACAGTTATATAAGCAATATATTTCATATAATGGTAAAAGAAATTTATTGGCAAATTTTATTAATTATTCAAATATATTTACACGTAACTTATATTAATTTTGCTCTTTTTTTTTTTATAGATAGGGATGATAGTAAACAATGTGAACCAATACTACCGTAAATTAATAAATGTTTATGACATATGGGCGAATATGCGGAAGCATGCGGGGACATGCAACTGTGGATTCAATACCCTAAAAATTTTTTATGGAGGGTCAGGTCGTCTGACGTTATTTAAAATTCATATGCTGCGCCAAAACGTATAAACTAACGCTACATAAAGTAATCATATAGGCTAATTCAGGACATGAATGAAGTCCAGACTTAATTTTTCATTTGACATTGTATTGTCTACTAAATAACGATAAGTCTTTTAATTTTACAATGTAATTATTAGATCAAAGTTTGCATAGCTGTGTTAATTGTTTAGTAAAAATCAAAAAGCGTTATCTACCGTGTTATAGTTGTTTTTTCTGAAAAAATACTTTCGCTAATTACTAAAAAAAATTTATAAATAATATTAAATCATCATAAGTTGTTTTTCAAATTATGAATTTACAATCTAACTCGTTACAGAATACATCTACTTCTTCAACCTATTTTGTCTGTTGTCCTATTTGTTTTCGAAATTTCAAGTCTGAAAATGGACTTAAACGGCATTATAACACAATTAATAAATATAATATACCACATAAAGATCTTGTCACAATTCCGAATAATTTATCACAAGAGTATAAAAATATTTTAATTCAACAAATACATCGTCAATTACCATTAAGCTTCACCAGAATGGGGCGAAGAGTGTTATCAATTCCATGTACTGAAAGTCAATTTGTTGCTGTTTTTGCAGGACATATTCACCAATTTTCTAACAACCCACGAGTATACAAATGTAGATTTCATGGAGAGTCGGCCTATTTGACTTTAACAAAAATTTTAGGAGATTCTAAATGGGGTCAAAAATGTTATAATCAGAATCAGCAAACATATATTGTTTTTGAACAGCTATCAAATCAAACAGTTTGTTCTAATATTGACAAAAATCAAGATGATGTTGATCCTCTAGAATTAATATTAAATCAAAATAAATTAAATAGTAAGAAAAAAAAAAGAAAACCAAAAGTTACTCGTGGCGAATTTCTGGTGGAATGGAAAAAAAAAATTGATCAAGAAATAGATGGACATATTTGTACCGCGGGATTTATAATTTTATCTTTTTATATATCACAAAGACGTTTATAAATTCGAACATAAAATCAAGATAGTCTCAGTTATAGTATATATTATATGTAGTTTAAAATTGATAAATTTTGGGTATCATTTGCTTGAGTTTTTTAGATATATATTTTTTTATTTATAAAATCAAGTTTATGCTTTGGGATCTTCGAGTACACATGTGTGCCTAAATTGCTCATCTAATAAAAAATTTTTTATAGCATTTAGTCATTTAGTCAGTCAAAATTAGAGCTTGTACCTACCTAAAAATTTATTCTCCGATTTACTCATCCATTATGTCAGTATTAACCAGGTTACTTCAAATAATTCGAGGTAACTCAGTGAACCGGTTGATCTGCTAATTTATGTTATTTATGCTAATACAATGCTTTTTCGTGAACTTTCGGAATACTCCACTGAAAATTTATGACCTTGCTACGTTCATTTATATTCTACTTCGTAACTTTTCGGAGTCTCTATTTCTCACCGTTCTTATTTAACCAGATATTGGATCAACTGGTTAAGCATAATTTATTCTAGGATATTGTCAAAATAACAGTTCCCAGATTGTCAGATAAATAAGTACAAGCTTTACATATATGGTTATGTTCTAATGCTTGCATCTTTGGAAGTGTGCCTAAAATTATTATTGAAAAAATATTTTAGCAAACATTTCAGCAACTATGAAAAATTAATTTCGACTAGAGCTTGTACCTGTTTATCTAACAACTCAGAAACCATTATTTTGACAATATCCCGGAATAAATTATGCTTAACCAGTTGATCTGATATCTAGTTAAATAAGAACAGTGAGAGATAGAGACTCCGAAAAGTTACGAAGTAGAATATAAATGAACGCAGCAAGGTCATAAATTTTCAGTGGAGTATTCCGAAAAAGGATTATGTTGGCATAAATAACATAAATTAGCAGATCAACAGTTCACCAAGTTACCTCGAATTATTTCAAGTAACCTGGTTAATACTGACATATCGAATGAGTAAATCGGAGAATAAATTTTTAAGTAGGTACAAGCTCTAATATCAGTCATTCAAATCTTAATTTTTTATTGATTTGTTTTAAAAAAAGAGCAAATTCGCTGGCAATTTATATATTTCTCAAAATACATAATATAATATAAGCAATGGTTATTATAATTAGTCCTATGCACTCTAAACGCCAGCTTTATAAAATAGATTCTGGATATGACAGCTATTTAAGTTTATATATTAATATTGAGTGACTACATCTGGAATTTGTTCTTCTTCAGCAATAGCTTGGCTTTTTTCAAACACTATATTTTTATCCATTAAGAAGTTATCATCCATGAATTTAATTATGACTTTTTGTGGTGTTTGATCATATTCTACTCGTCTGTATTTAGTGATAGGTTGATCATATGCTACCTTCTTTTTATTTTCTGTGACAGGTTAATTGTATGGTATATTTTCCATGTTCTTTCTAAATTCTGTGATGTTCTTTCTATATTCTGTGATAGGTTGACTGTATACAACCTTCTCTATGTTCTTTCTATAATTAATGATAGATGGTCTAGTAGGCTGTTTTTTTTTCTTAGATGAAAGCCCACGCCTAGGTGGCATTTTTTAGGCATCAAAGAAAAGTATGCTTTAATGGATGTTTAAAGAGATATAATTCAACTTTTTTTTTGTCAAATTAATTTTGTATAATTTATTATGAAAAATGGCATTTTTAATATTGTTTATATAGAGCTTTTAAGCAGAAAATTCGAACCTTCTTCCGAGTAGCTGTTTATTATTAGTGGTGTATCTTATGGATAGTCTGCCTCATGATGTATAGAAAACAATTATGAATATATGCAGAGGCAATTGTATACTGAGAATCAGAAATAAGTAATATGAATAAAAAAGAATTCTAACAATAAAATCATAATTTTGAGTTGAGTTCTTACTGTCAAAACTTACATGAATCATCATGCTTAGTGATGGGACTAACCGAGATTAAAAAAGGAGGTTGTTTAACTAACACGCACTATAACCATTTAAAAAATTAATTTTATATGTTTTTTATATGCTATAGTATCTAATAATTAAACTGCTTCTTTTTCTAACCCCAGTTAGTCCTATCACTAGTGACACGACTAGGGCAGCTATTAAAATTGTGAGTCGTGTAATAGGTGCTACCATTGCCAACCAATAATGTGTTTCATAAACTCTTGCATCATTACACGATCAGGAAAATTCAAAACAAACGTCGTTTTGTCAACAACTCTGTTAACAAAACGATGTTTGTTTCGAATTTTCCTGATCGTGTAATGATGCAAGAGTTTATGAAACACATTATTGGTTGGCAATGGTGGTACCTATCACATGACTTACAATTTTAATGGCTGCCCTGGTTGTGTCATCACTAGTCATACTGCAAAGACAATTATCATGTACCTATAAAAATATCGCATGACAGTATATCACCATTATTTTCTATGCATCATGAATGATTCATGAGACACATCAGACATTGGATAAAGGTATGCTCTAAACAAATATTGCGCATAACAAAAATACTGGTATTAATAAAAAAAAATAGAATTGCATTATTGTATACACTGTACATTAATTCATAGCAAACATACGATTTTTAGGATGAAATTGATAAATTTTATCAATAATAATATTAATGAAATTATAAACAAATATTTTTTCCCTCATAAAATGATCATTCAATTATTGTTATAGGCAGAATTGTCATTCACTACCAAATGTTATAGACTATTTGGTAAATTGTAAGTTACCACCAAGTGCTACAGGCAGATAAGTCATTCTCGTGGTTAAGGCTTCTCGCCAAAGGCATGATAATAGTGATTCAGTATTAAGTTTATTAATTTAGTTATGTTTATATTTTTCTAAATATCTTTATTAGTTATTAAGAATTGATTTAGAACTGTATTAATTGAGTTCTCCTTTTACAAGGGGGATATTACAATATTTTTTATAACATTTAGGTCTTCGAGGCTAAGCTAAGTTATTCTTGTCTTTATTCTGATACAATTTGTCTCTTTCCCTCATGCTATGACTTATTTATTTAGTCATGAGTATTTCTTGTCATATTGCTACATCATCACCTCATCATCATCTCGTCATTACTCTGATGATAGGTAGGCATATCCATTTTTGGTAATTCTCTAATTTGCTGTTTTTACATTTTTAGATGCAGCTTCGACCTTATTTTCTGAGTCTATCTTTTTATCTGTAACACATCATATTGACAATTAGAATGTTTAGACTTAGGTAATTTCAGGAAAAAATTCTGAATTCGTATAAGTCTGAAAACTATAACTGATAATGAAATGTCTTTTGTTCAAGATTTGTTTTGTTGAGAATAACTTACTAGGGCAACAAGAAAACATGGCAAGAATAAGTGGCACTATGAACAATAGTGATCATGATTTAAAGAACATTCATATAATCAAATACTCGAATTTTTTTTTTTTAGATAGAATCATTGAAAATATTGCAGATTCGATTATTTAGATATCAAATTAGTAACTTTATTTAAGAGATAATGATAACTGGTAATGAATTAATTCACTGTTCATATATATATATATGTATGTATGTACGTAATAATAATGCAGGTTTGATTATTAAAATTTAACATCGTTATGCACATATGAGCACTATATACAATTTAGTGCATAATATCTAATGCTAATTTAGAATAAAAGAAATAAAAGACAATGTAGATAATCCAAAACCATAAAGCATTTCTAAGATATATGTACAATTTGATATTAGGTTATCGATATTGTGATTGATCGCTCTAATTTATTAATATATCAATATGCATATATCGTGATTATTACTTTTAGATTGCATACTCAACTTAATAACTTACTGATGCGTTTGTTTTCTAATTCTTTTGTGCTAATGCGTTTGTTTTCTAATTCTTTCGTGCTAATATAATTTTTAATTCTATCTTAATTATCAGCATTTTAGTTTTATTATTATTTAATAATTTATTGTACTAGAATGATTATGTCTATAATAGAATGATCGTGTTTATTGTGCTAGAATAATCAAATATAAATAAAACCTTTCATGCAAACCAATTTTTTCTAAATTTTACTATTTAATTAATACAGTAATGTCAAATCACTTAGATCGTCTAAATAAAACTGAATTAGAAATTAAAACTTTTGAACTAGGAAATTATCCTGAAAGCCCTATGATTACTTATAAAGAAAAAAAAAATATTATTACACAACGATCATTTAACTATTTTATAGAGGCAGAAGGGTTTTATCCAAATGCCTCTCAACTTCATTATACTTCATCTCCTAAAAAGTATTCAATCCCTAATAATTATTCTGTAAGAACTAGCTGGGGCTGTGGTAAAAATCAGCAAACAGTTCAGTGTAAAATAGTATATAAAAATGGAAGTCCAGAATTTCAAATTCAATTTGGTACCTTTTTTGAAAATGAAATCAAATCATGTATATCAGCTACCACGGCTGCAACAAATTATGAAAAAGCTATAAACAAAACAAGTCGATTATCTGGAATATTGCTATTCGGATTACAGCTTCAAACACTTAAAAATATTAGAGAATCTCGATATTCCTGGTCAGCATATGCAAAAGACATTAGACAAGATTTAATTAAACCAGCAATTCAATGTTCTCAGTCAGCACTTGATAAGCGTGCAAAAGATGTTGCAGCAATTATTAAAGAGAAATTTATTCAAAATTCTCCATTTAGATTCCATGAACAAGATTTTATTTTATTAAAGTCATTAGAATATACTATTAATAATCAGATTTATCATTTTAGCTTTGGAGACGATTTTGTACAAAAAGAATTTGAGATCTTAAATATGGTTAAAATAATGGATTCGAATTATATTTCTCGTGATGCTTACCGTGAATTAGCTGCAGTAAATTATCACTTGTCACGTGAACACAATATCGTAATCGAACAGAATAATTTAACCCAAAGGATAACTAATAACATTCCAATTAAACTTGTCAATATGAATACAGAAGCAATAGATAATTTAGAAACTATTAACGAGTTAGATAATGATAATATAGATTTTAGTAAAGTACTAAATTCAGTAGGTACTGGTGGGCAACGTGACTGTAAAGGAATACTTAGATATATAATTCCTTATTTAGTACATAAAAATATATTATCAACTCATAATCCAGTAATACACTTACGAATTTCTGGTGATGGCCATAATGTAGGTCGAAAAGTTAAGCACGTTATGGTCACCTTTATGATTCTTAATGATCGAGAGCACTACCATGTACCTAGTTATCATCATACTATTGCTTTATATCCAGGAACAGAAAAATATGAATCTCTCGAGATTATATTAAATCCATTTATTAATGATCTTAGAGATCTTAAAATTAATGGATTGGAGGTTGAAGGTATTTTTTGGCAGTTTGAATTATATTTCAGTAGTGATTGGAAATTTCTCGCAATATGCCTTGAATTAAATACTGCAAATTTGAAACATTTCTGCGCGTGGTGTCTCTGTTCTAAACAGGAAATTGGTAATACAACATGTGACTGGCGAATAACAAAGTCAATGGATAATTTAAAAAATAATTATCATAATATACCTGGTCATATCAAATCACCATTATTTGATATGATTCCTTTATCCAACTATGTATTTGACGAGTTGCACGTTTTATTATGAGTTGAGGATCGGCTCTGGTCCTTAATGTTATCAGAAATTAAGGAGCAAAATTTATTTAATAATATTAGCCGTCAGATTATTGTAGATGAAATGAAACGGCTTAATATCAAGTATGAGTTTTGAGAAGAATCTGCTACATGGAAATACATATCGTTAACTGGCGAAGATAAAATTAAAGTATTGCAATACTTTAATTTAGCTATTCTTTTTCGTCCAAGTCGAGCTAAATTAATTCGATCTTTGTGGAATAAATTTATTGAACTATATAAGGCAATATTTGATCAATATAGTGATTCTTTATATATAAAACACCTAGCACTCGAATGGTTAAAACTTTTTTTAAAACCTGATGAAAAAGACCCAACAAATTCACAAAACATCGTAAAAGGCCTTTATTTACCAACTCATGTAACTCCCTATATTCATTTTTTAGTATTTTATGGATGGGAGTTACATCAAAAACATAAACAATGGGGGTTAAAAGCATTTTCTTGTAGCGCAGTTGAAAAAAAAAATCATATACATGTGTCTTTTTTTTTCCGGAAAACTACTATGAATGGTGGAAACCCTTTTAAGAGAAGTGCAGCTACAATCGAAATTTTAGAATATGAATCACGAAATATTTTTTTTGCTTATAATGATCTTCCTAGACAAAAAGTTAAAAAACTTGTATTAAATAAATAATTTCTGAAACAGAGTTAATTTCAGATAATAGGCAAGAAAAAAATTCTAAGTGAGTTTCGGGAATAGAATAAGATGGATATAAGCAAAAAATTTCCAAATAACTACTATAATTCAATTGATCACAACTGTATCAGTATACTATACATTCTTTAAATGTAACTAATAATTATGACTTAAATTAACAATAAGATTTAACTTTATAATAAATAAATTTTATACATATATTCTTGCAGATAATTAATTGGAAAATATATGATATTAGGATTTATATGATATAATGTTTAAAATTGATTAAATATTTTTTGCTTCACTCGCTGACAGAAAAGTGGCTTCTCTGAAATTTTTAATAAAACAACTAAAATTTTATGATTTCTAAATGGAAGGTTACTTAATAATTCAAATGCTATTAACATTAACTTGCTATAAATATCAACTTTTTCTTAATTAAAAGTTAGGTTTTGAAGAGATCTATATCCCTTGAATATTATAAAATTTTGAAGCTAAAAATATAAAATTTTATCTTAATTACTGATTTTAATATCATAGTGAACTAATAAATTAAACGAATTCTTTATAATGACTAACTTTAATTTGTAATTTAGTCCTTAAAGAAATATAATTAAAATAGTTAATAAAATGTCTATTGTGATAATACGTACTGTACCTTCTTTTTCTAATATTTCAAATCGAAATTGATTAATTGTTTAAGCTGTTTGAATTTAAAACTTCGTTTAACGTTATTTTTTCCTGCACCTTCAGATCTCTTTAAAAAAATTAAACATTTAGTGTATTGCAAAAAAATTGAGGCAGTTCAGTAAATTTCAAAAAGCTAGACAATCAACATTAAACACAAAAATGTCAGAATTTAGGATAATTTGTTTAATTTTTCCTTGCTCCTCGTACAAACATAAAAAAATAATATTAAATGAAGTTTCAAATTCAAACAGCCTTAGTTGGCTACTAATCGATTAATTTTTACAAATGTATTATTAATTTATTGGACTAACTAATCAATTAATACGTATGTACAGTACCTCAATAAATTCTTGCAACCAATTAAATTGAAGATTAGTTGTAATGTAAAAGTTTAAAGAAAAAATTCACAACTAATCGATTAATCTGTTAATCGATTATCTGACTATTCTAAATTTTTAACTGACTAATCAATTGCATTTTTTAATTTAATTTAGAACACTACTTGTTATCATGGTAAAAATAGCAAGTTACTAATTACTGTCGTCTAAAATTTATGAAGTACTCCTATTACATAATATTTTATATCTATATCTATACATACAATATAAACCTAGTGACAAAGTCACATATGTGCAAGTTCTAGTTAATGATTACAATAAGGCTATTTGAATTTGAAAATTCATTTAATGTTTTCCTCCCCTTTGTAGCTAAATTAAACAAGCTAATTACAATATTTAAATTATTTCATGTATTTATATTTTGTAATTCAATGTAAAATAGTTAGATACAATATTTATATCATAAGTCAAACAGGTATTTAACTAGTTTAATCTACTGCTTAAATTTATAGATTTAATAAAGAATAAAAGCAATAACGATAAAGTAAAATATGATATCATCAAAAACTTGTTTGTGGCTAAGTGTAATATCATCGATTACCAAATTGGTATTCTATAAAACTAACGCTAATTATCATGTCAATGTTATCTAATCAATATCTATATGCTATGCCTGTTTTTTCAATTTATCAATTTATAGAATTTAAAAATACTATTAATTATATAATTAAATAAAGCAAGTAATTTAATTATCAACTTTAAGTCAACTATCTGATAATTAAATTACTTGCTATCACGCTATATAGCATTTTACTAAAGCGAGTTTAAAAAAATTAATTGCTAAAGTTAGATCAATTATTAGTGCTTTATACTGATATTGTGAAAGTAGTATTTATAAAAATTTCTTTATAAAAGAATAAAATTAAATTGATCTTTACTTACATTTATTTTTATATAATTGTATTTTTGATAATTATGAGTCGTGAACCTATTGTAACCCGTTCAAGAGCAGATCAAATTGTTAGTGAAACTTCATTTGATGAATTTAACAATTCAGATAATTATAGTGACCAAGAGCAAGAATCTGCTAATGAAGAGTCTGATTATTTTGATGAGTTTGAAATAACTCAAAATAATAGAGACCTAAACTATATGGATACGTCTGATCAAGACCAAGAAATTGAAAGCTCTGATATCGAGATAAATGAAAGTACTTCATCTAATACAAATACTTTATCTACTGTTAATTCGAATAAACAGTCATTATCTTCATATGTCTGGGACTTTTTTGTAAAACTTGATACTAAACAAAGTCAATGCAAACATTGTAAAAGAATATATAGTGAAAAAACAGCAACAAGTTCACTTGATCGACATATTCAAACTCGCCATAAAGGATTATTTAATGACTTTCAGCAAACTACTTTAGATCGTTACTTATTTACTACACCATACTCAAATGAAATTCAACAAAAAAAAATTACTCTTTTAATCAAATGGATTGTAGTTAACTTACAAGCTTTCATGCTTGTAGATAACTTATATTTTAAACAATTCATTTATGAACTTGATCCACGTTTTCGACTTCCTTGTAGACAAGTAGTTCATGATAATATTATATCTACATTTAAATCTCAAAGAGATTTAATTAAAGATTTTATTTTTAAACTTTCTTGTAATATTACATTAACTACGGATATCTGGAGTTCCTGTACTATGACTAGTTTTATAGGCATAACTTGTCATTTTATTGATGATAATTGGGTTCTTCGTCATATTCTCTTAGATATTTTTGAAATTCCTTCCCCTCACACTGGTCAAGTAATTGCAAATGCAATTTTATCACTTTTAGAGGAGTTTAAATTAGAAAACAAAATTTTAGCATTAACTTCTGATAATGCTAGCAATATTATTTTAGCTAGTAGTTTAATTAAAGATACGCTTGCTAATAGTTTTTTAAATACTTCATTTCAGCACATTCATTGTGCTGCTCATGTTATGAATCTTGCAGTCAAAGAAGGTTTAAAATTAGCAAATATTCACTTAATTAAGCTTCGTTCTTTTATTAGGAAAATTCGCAAATCAGTACTTTTAATTGAGGATTTAAAGCGTATATCAGCTTCTTTTTATCAGACTTTTTTGCGTCCTATTATTGATTGCAAAACTAGATGGAATAGTACTTTTATGATGATCGATCGTGCATTGATCTTGCGTATTAATTTGGATTCTCTTGTTGTACGCCATTCATCCCTACGTGATTTACAACTTTCAGATGAAGAGTGGAATATTCTTTTAGTAATTATAATTATAATATTTAAATTAATTTTTTTAACTCACAATAATATTTATATAAGTAACGGAATATGAAAATCTGAAATTATTTCACTTATTATCATTGTAGTGAATTCTACTTCTGAGACTCAGAAGTAAAATTCACTATGATGATAGTAGGTGAAATAATTTTCAGGTTTTCATATCCCGTTACTTATATATTTGAGATATTATTTAACACAATTTATCATTAAATTAATTAATTTAAAAATACAAATAGTACTAATAAAAGTAATTTATAATTTAATTTTTAAATAGGACCTTCGTAATTGTTTAAAACCATTTAATACCGCAACAGAGATACTTTCAAAATCTAACTATCCAACAATTGCTGATTTACGTCTTATTATCTCAGGTTTACGTAATCATCTTAATACTTATAATGTTATTCATCAAAGTTTAAATTTAGTATCATTTAAAATTAAAGAAAAATTAGATGAATACTGGCCGATTATACAAGAAACTAGTAAGATTGCTGCTTTTTTTGACCCACATTTTAAAAGATTAGTTTATAATGAACAATCAATAGACGAAATATTAGCTCCAATTTATGCAAATCTTCCAGTAAATATTGAAGCTACAGTTCAACCTTCATATATCTCAAAGCGTCGTCAGTTTATTCAAGAGTATACTGGAACATTTATGCCAAATTCAACTTCAGACTCAGATGAGCTTGTTCGATATTGGGAAACAATTCCTCCACCCGAAGAAATTTTTGTCTGTGATTGGTAGAAAGCTAATCAAGCAGTATTTCCAAATTTGGCAGTTATGGCAAAAAATTATCTAGCAATTATGTTTATGAGTGTTCCCTGCGAGCAACTCTTTAGTTTAGCAGGGTTAACAGTCACCAAAACACGAAATTCACTTGATAATGAAACAGTTAGGGCTATTTTGTGTTTAAAATCTTGGTTTACTGAAGATTTATAAATTTTCTTTTTTTTTTTTTTATCTTATCGTTATAAATTTTAAATTTAAATTTAAATACAAATCTTTTTTTTTTTCCTGTTAGCAGGTTTTTTTAATGCATGAACTTATATTGCATATATATTTAGATTTGTTAAATTAGCAAATTTTTGTTTATACATACTATTTGTAAATTTTTAAATTTTTAGTCAGATTTTTTTTTTATTAAATAAATATCTTATATTTTATTATGTTTATAATTTTTAAATATCTACAAAAAGTATAAGTATGCATAGTAATAAATCGAATAAATGCTAGCTAACCAAAGATATTAGAAATAATTCAGTTAAAAACATTAAATATAGTATTCATTATAAGTAATTTTACGAAGTAATTTAAGCTAAAAACTATGACATGCTCTTAGATTAGTAAGAGCCAACTATTATTGTAACAGTAGAACAAGTATGAAGTAAAAATTTAACTTTAATAAATATTTTAAAAAAGTCATAAGAAATATTATTTAAAATAATATGCACAAACTAAACATATTATTAATTACGATAAAATACTATACTTATTTTGCGCTTATAATATTAAGATTTATTATCAAAATTATATTGCAAATAAGTATTTAAAGATAAGTATTTTTGAGTAAGTATTTATGTTCATGATATTAATTTCACTAATTAACGTTAATGATTCATCTTTATACTTGCGCACTATTTGAGGAGTATTAGGTGATTAATTGCAAATAAGTACTTAGAGATAATAAGTGTTATGAATAAGTTAATGTTTTTGAAAGATATTACTATGATTGTAAAAGGCACATAACTAGAGATGTAACCCAAACCAAATGGTTTCGGCACGTGGCCAAACCCAAATAGCCGAAACTAGTTTGGGACTTGGCCGAAATAAAATCCCAAACTATAA